GGCATCTCTGCATTTAAAAAAATAATAATCTGGTTGGGACATAGCTTGACTGAAGACTCCTGAGCCAACTTACTTATATCCAAAATTTCTTTATATATATTTATCTATTTTTTCAGGTTCACAATTTATCTGAGAATATCCCTTCTCGATATCTTCTTCGATTATTTCTATGAAGTTGAAGTGGTTTTTGTCAACTCTTTCCAACCCCTGCTGCATGTCGTTTACTTTTACTGTTCGTCAGCCGTTATTTACCTACCATATGATAAATATTGTGGTATGGGTATGAAAGATCAGGTCCATTATACTATCTCCCCCAAGCTTACGATATTAAGTACTTAAACGTCATATTGAAAGCAGAATAAACTAATGAGACTGGTTTGTGCTCTATGTTATAGAGTGTTTGCACAAGAAAGAGGGTAGATTAGGGTGGTCTCCATATTAGGCACAAGTGAAGAAAAAACGGAGATCAATTATCGTTTCCATTGGGTCTTAATGGAAAAGTTCCTCGACGTTAAAATTTGCCTTTATCAGATTGATGTTTTTATGCCCTAATTTGAATTCTGCCGATTCCTTTTTGAAATCTGAACAGGCAGAAGAGTACCTATATTTCAAACAAATCATTGATCAATAATAATAATAACATGATGAATCCGTTCATGAGGTTGAAAATAGGTCTAAGAATGTTTATGGTATTGAAACACAATATACTCATAATGTATCTACAGTGCGACCATGCATATTATATTATAGTGTTCTATTGGTTCATTTGTGATATGACAAATATATACAGCGTATCTCATAAACAGCCCCCGGCTCTATATCTCAGCTATAATTCGTGCGATTCGTACCAAATTTGGATTGGAATGAATAATCATCATCAATATTTTCATAGTCGAACATCATTTTGGACAGTGCGCAGTGCGTTTTCATTGACATGAAAAAGGGGAGGATTTTTCATGAGATCATATAAAGAATCTTCAGCAAAAAAAACTTCATATTTTTGTTCCTCATACTTTCAAACCTCCATATGCAAAAAATCGCCGAATTAATAGGATTGGTTGAATACTGTCTGTAGGTTAATGGAGGAGGTGTTACAATAATTTATCTTCATTATTTGGGATTATCACTCCTCCTACAAATGCACGGAATCTGGACGTCCCCAATACAACAAGAATGATCATAATATGACGACGAAAGAATCATAATCTATGACCCCGAAACCCACAGATACCAATTTTGAATGTGAACGGATTATACCCTATAACTCGTCCGCCATATTGGATCCGCCATCTTGAATTTTCCAATTTTCACAAAAGATAATCGTAATTTCCGACCGCCAAAACCCACAGATACCAATTTTGGTAATAAACTGATTATAATTACAAAAATCGTCCGCCATATTGGATCCACCATCTTGAATTTTCTGATTTTGACAAAAGAATCATGATCTCCGCTGAAACCCCCAGATACCAATTTTGAATGGAATCGAATTATAATTACAAAACTCGTCCGCCACATTGGAACCGCCATCTTGAATTTCTTAATTTTTCTTCTCATATCAACCTTCTCCTAACAATAACAAATACAACAAAGAAATATTGAGTGAAATCGGTAAAGCTGTTTACGATTCTACGAAGGACATACAGACAAACATTCATTTTTATTTATAAAGATGTGTGTCTTTTAAATGTCTGTATTTTTCAATGAAATGATGAATGAATAATGTTTGAAGTGCCTGTAGTGATCTAGAGATCTTGAGTTCGATTCCTGGGTAGAGGAATCGTCATTTCTAATTTTTCCATACAAAATGAGATTTTTGTACTCTGTCTAGCTAGTGAGAAAAGGAGGATATACGTTGATTAAGGTATTCATGGACCAGGAATGGACGTACTGGGGATGTGCAAATGCGCGGAATCTGGACATCCCCAATACGTAGTTGGTATACGTAAACGGTTCCTAATCTGGACGTTCTCAGTACGTACGGAACGTCTTGGCCGGACGTTGTCAGAACGTTTCGAGGACGTACTCGTGCTATGTGGGTAGATGTTGATTAACTGAACAAATCAAGTTCTACGCCCATGGTATGATATTCGTCTTGATCATGGTATCGGTTTCAATTTTAATGCTCATCCAAGCCATGCTCACGAGCCCATTCAATGTTTATGAAGCAAAAACGATTAGAATTGTAACTTCAGAGCCGTCTGGCTAGGTTAATCGCCCAAACTATGCAACTTTATACTGTTCCTTTGAATCAAATTGTTCTGGTCTGAGGAATATGTATAGTTGTGTTAAGTAAAGACTTTTAAGGGACGCACTGTATATCAAAGACTGTAACCTTTGGCACGATATTCACACTACACTATTTCACCACTAATCAAACCGATTCTTCGAATTTTGATATTGTTTTAATCCTCTCAAAGGTACTAACTGCGTCATCAAAATCGGTTTGGGTAGTGGTAAAACATTGATGTAGTGTAACCTATCACATTATGTCAATATTTCGGAATATATAGGTACGACATCTACATAAAAAAATCTTTCCAAATATATATGTTCAAATATGAGGAATATTGAGTGAAATATCAAAGAATGCATGATTTTAAATACCTACCCATCGAAAGATTCGGTGAAATAGATTGAAACGCGATGTATAATTTATTATTGAAAGTTTGGGCTATCAGAGGAATTTAATTGATATAGGTACATATATAAGTGAACAATAATGGTAGATTATTTCCACTACACCTACATAAATATCTGATGAAATGCGTTCTGGTTCGCCCTCAAATATTTCCGCTCACGAATCCCTGTAAATCCTTTCTAATATATATAATATGTCTCTCCGAAATCATTCCATCTAAAAACCGACTGTGCTTATATTCTTGTATAAAAGGCCCTTTTGTAGCTTTTCACCAAATGAAAACGTTGCTCGTAATTTAGATAAAGTAGTGTATGGCAAGCAGTTGCCAGCAGACTTTCATTCGTTCTCCTTTACTTATACAAATTGCAACATTTCTAAAGGCCGTTTTCATCATAATGTTCTCATTACGTAAAATCTTCTGAGGGTCGTAGACCATTTTCCAGTTTTTTGTGGAATCGTAATTATTGCATTCGAAGGGAAAAATAGCATTGTATTGAATGAGATGAAACACAATGACTCGATGTTTACGAACAAAATACCAAACTGCGTATAGAAAAGTTTGTTTTTCACAAAATGACCTATACTTTTGATGAGAAAAGATTTCGATTTTATGCCGGCTCCAATTGACCGTCACAAACAAGGTAGCAGTATTTTAAACCAATGACTGGGTCAACAATAAGTTAACCAGTCCACACCCAACCACACCGATTAGCCACTGAATAATAATCTGAGGCTATATATATGAGAAAACATAATTATAAGTACTTCTTAAAGAGATGATTTAAGATTCATATCTTATAAAGAAGTATTTTTCAATGAGATATCTCATCATATCATTGATGGAAATAAATCTTGGATTCATTGTTAATAGGTACATACGTATAGCTAATTGTTTCAATTATCTTGAATTTGAAGAAGGTATAAGAACCTACTTCCTATCTATGATATATTTTTGTTACAGATGATACATTTCTTATTCAATATATAAGCATTATCACGGAAACGAAACAATAAACAAAAACAGCTGATGAACTGACGTGTGTCAAGCTTCACAGGTAAACCGTGACATAATAAAGACACCGTGACGTCATTATGAGGTTAACCTGGCTTATCTGGTTAGGATCGAGGAAAAATGACAATGGTGTCTACCTTTATTGTTTCACTGTATATACGGGGATTTCGGAAATTGATATAGGAAATTGATTCACTTACTCGAAAGTTTAAACAAAGGCATTTCGTTCGTTTTGGTCGCTCGCCAAAGCAGTCGGAAAGAGTTTCACTAATACTCAGTTCATTTCCACAACTTTCCAAAGCCGACTGCACATTAGCAACAACAGCAAGGGATAGCAAATATTTTTGGAGAGATGTTCGCAGCAAACTCCACCTTGAATTACCATGAGAGAGTACCGCCTAGACATTATGCCCGTTGAGACACGAGTGCCCGAAATTGTCATTCTTCAACGCACTATCAGACGTATTCTGCTCGGTCTCAAAACGAATAAGGCTAACGTTCCTGATGAAATTCCACCCATTTTTATCAAAAAGTGTGCACGAGAATTGATACCGATTCTCTGCAAGTTATTCACTATATCGTACTAGTCGGGTATCTTTCCCTCTTGCTGGACATTAGCTATAGAGTCCAACCCATCCGCAAAAAAGAAAACGAAAGCCTGCTCAACAACTATTAGACAATTGCCTGCTCAATAACTATTGGACAATTGCGCTGTTCGATCATCTCTAAAGTGATGGGGAAAACCATCAACGTTGAACTCATCAAATATCTGGAAAGCTCGGGTGATGATTATGACAGGTCAACTGGAGATTTACTTCCCTTTGTCACCCATATATGACAATCTTCATGAGAAAAACAAGAGGAATATCTCTAGTTGTGGCGTTTGATATATCGAAGGCATTATTCGATCAGACAAACTACCATCATACGGGTTACCACCTCAGCTATGCCATATTTTTTCAAGTTTTCTTTCAGGCAGATCGCTCCATGTGTTTGTAGACGAAATATCGTCTGATACCATTGTCACCGTTTCCGGCGTTCCACAATAATCATTATTGGCCCCAACATTGTTCCTACTTGATATCAATGATCTGTTGGGAACAACCACTTGTCCTATCCACAGCGTTGCAGACAATATTACTCTCCATACTGCGTTCTCTTCTAGAATTACAATTTCTTCCAAGGAAACTAAGAACTTATGACGGTGGCAGGTCAACGCTGTCAATGACGATCTTGCTGAAATTACAGCCTGGACAAACAACAACCTAGTTGAATCCAACGATACCAAAACTCAGACCTGTATATTTCTAGAAAGGCGGAATTCAGTATACCTGATATCAAATTGTTATGTCTGGTCCCACCATTTCCACCAACACCACTATATCGATGCTAGGAATTTTCATCAATTATACTCTTCCATGGGAAAATTATGTTCGATTCATCGCGAAAGCTGCTTCACAAAAACTCGGATGTTTATTCTGTGCGAAAATCTACTTTACACCTGAACAGCTTCTCATGATCTACAAAGCCCTTTTACAGCCTGTTTCAGAACACTGTTCTCACATATGTGGTTCAGCACCCAAACATATGCTGATGCTCTGAGATTCCATCCAGAGAAGAGCAATCCGCCTTGTGGAGGATTCCACACTCACTAATACTTTGACTTCATTAGAACACCGTAGACAAGTCGGCGACCTTTCACCTTGCTCTCGTTGATATACGATGAGAAATATAAAGAGCAGGAATACGGAATATCACCCTATAACCTATCCAGGTATCTGGAATTCTCAAATTTCAAAACGGCATTGTGTTCGGTATAAAATTGCGCTATTTTGCCATTATTCAACACACCCTGTATCTCTTTACGAGCTACCAATGATCATGCTCGAATTCCATACAACCTATCCCAGTACATACCAACCAACTAAGTACATATATTTTGTTACAAATTGTGTACAATATCTTCTCAGAGTTTTGATGAAAAATATTTCAAAAGGAAAAAGCTAGTTGAGATTGAACGAGATTCGAAAGATCATTATGAATCTTGAATGACAATACCAGTAATAACCCTCCTCCTGATCTACTATCAAACTCATTTATAATTTATTTCAAATCGATAGACTCAACTTCAATATAGTAATATCAAGATACAACAAATGAGTTTATTATTTTCAATCAGATAATCAAATGAACTTGAAAATTAGTAGATGTTTCAGAAAAAGATGCGCACGAAATGTTTGATTTGGATAATGATGATATTTAGCAAAAAAATTAACATGACAGCGGAGGATATAAGTACTTGACTAAATAGAAAATTTTATAATTTTTACTCCCTCATTACTTTTACAGAAATGGCACTTGCAGTTTTGTAAGCATTTGCCCCATCAGCTACCTATTGGGTTCTAATGATTGATTTTTTCTTTCAGGTCTGGTTCAGCAATAGACGTGCGAAGTGGAGGCGAGAAGAAAAGTTGAGAAATCAACGGCGATCTGTAGATCACGTGGGTGCAATTAGTCCTCCTGCTTCAGCACCCAGATTGCCTATCAATTCTGGTTTCAACTCCATGTACTCAATACCGCAGCCTATAGCTACTATGGCTGATACTTACAGGTTAGATTATTCATCATTCTTCACCCTTCCATATCTTGAAACCATATCTATCGATCTTCTTATATAACAATATAGGTTGAGGTTAACGTTAGGTATGCCATTTCTTCTTTCTTATTTTTGTTTGACGTCGGCCTACTACTACTGAAAGGTTCAATTCTGACAATGGTGACACACTGCCTAAAACAGGAAAATTTGACGAACCCACTGATACTCCAATCAGACGTATAGAAATCATTGATGAGCCAAACATCGATGGTATATGGATCACTGGATTGATGTCTCCTCTGGAGGCATACCCGTACTATTTTTTTGCATACCCGTACTATTTTTTTCGTTTTCACTGATAAAGCGAACTGTGAGGCTTCATTGGGAACTATTGGAACTGAATATTATTAACTGAAAGCTTTGACACATAGTGTATCTGTATATGCAGCTGAGGGGATCCTTTAAAAGAGAAGGCGTTTTAGAAATGAAACCATTATCAGTTCACCATTGGATTCAATAATATAAGAAACAAGGCGAGCATGTTCAAGAATGACTCACATAAATTATTGATATTCTGACAAAAAGAATACCAATAGTAAGTATAGAATAAGATATATGGATGCCGATAGATATTTCAATCAGTAGGACTGATTTGGGAGGAAAGAATAGTATTTCATCTGCAAGTATCCCTTTTTTCGTTTCGATTTTGATGGGGTGGATCATGAGGTTATTCATTAGGGGCTCCAGAATGGTTTAAATTACTATAACCATCGTCATATTGTACCTATCGATGACCGGAGAACAGAGTTTTAGTCTCGGTTTTAGTGCTTACATCAAGTACTCAGTTTAATGTATTAGGAACATATAGAATTTGTCGGAGTTAGATGAATGGTGGTAGTTGGTAAAGAATATATCATTTTCTTCTTTTAATTCTTCATTATCGGTTTTCTATATATACGGGTGTGATTCAATTATGCATGGTATATAAGTGGTAAGACGAAAAGTTTATATAAGTAAACAATACTCCGGAAATGCATAGTATTCAAACTTTCTTCAAAATATAAGTTTTTCGTAAATCTAGTCATGGTTGAATCAGTCCTTTAACTACCTAATAACACTTAACAAATCGAAAATATGCCATCAAATAAAAGGGTAAACGATCTATGGATCTATATATGGTTGGTATTCGAACCAAAATGTGGAAGGATTATAGCAACATGATTGTCATGAAATACTTCACGAGTACGAGAATAAGCCAATTAAATCACAATAAACATATTTTCATGAAATAAATAGAAGCACATTACGAACGATATGATAATAATCGTGAATAATCTGACAGTCTATCGTCTCTCGTCTTCCATTGGAATTTAAATCACCAGTAGCCGTCGTTGAGTTTTTTGTATTATTTGTAAGATTATATGAGAGCCGGACTCCCACTGGGTCTTTATTGAATTTGATTTGAGGTATGACTCACAGTGATGCCATATTTATACTGAAATGGAAGCTTGGTATATATTGATACCTTGCCTACATGTATACATCATGTTGAATAACGATTATAACTCATCAACAGAAAACTATTCAACGACCTAACTCACCAATGCAACTATTTTCAATCATCTACTTCAACGACCGAAAGCTCCAATCACAAAACTGATAATGATCAACCTCCACTCATGTATGACGAAAAAATATCCGGACCATACAATACACATGTATAAATCATAAAACCCATGGTCGTTCGAATATTTTGAGAGACCTGCAAATTCTGTACGGATCCTCAGATGTTCGTGTTTAAGACTGCTCGTTATATTGACCAGTTTCAAAAGACTTGCAGACTTTTCAACTACGAATTTGGGTTTTCATTTGCGCATGACATCATCATCGAAGGATATCTGAATAACACTTTGAAATATCTCACACAATCTATACGAAATCCAAGATTGTATCTGAAAATGAAATACTACTGTATCACAATCACTGAAAAAAATTGTCGGTAGTAAATACCAAACGTTCAGTAAAATATGCGCCAGTCACTACATTCATCAGATGATACCGCTAAAAAATTGTATAATAGGTACCACTACAAAATTGTATATAATTCACTAAAACCAATATTACCACTACAAAATAGTATGATGCTAACTTGTGAGTATGCCATTTTGTTGTGGTATTATTTGATGATTATAGTGACTGGCGCCTACTTTACTAAGCATATGTTATTTACTACCGAGTATTTCTCCAAGCGAAGTCCAGAAAACTAATGTATGTAACAAAACTGATAATAGGACGATTTCCTCGCATAATTATTCTGTATCTACGAAAAAATAGCCGTGATCTGGTGAACATTATTATGAGTGATTGGACAGGCTTTTGACGAGATATCCTCTATAAACATCACCATATCACACTTATCTCGAATTCATTGTATCCGGTAATCGGTGAGTTATCAAACTCAGCCTATTGGTCTGGGTCTGATGAAGTTTCTAATGTCATATTTTCCTATGATTCTCTGAGGTATACTTGTATCATATATGTACACGTTTGACAGAATAAATCTTCTAATGGAGAAACCATCTATTACAGTAAATACGCATAAAGGTTTCACGAGTATCTGAAAGAGAAAAAAAAAGCGACACTGCCAAACCTTGCCTTCCTACGCTTTCATGCACCTACGTTTCTTTCCACGTACTTTTGCCGCACAAGCTAAGTAGGTACGATGGCAACGTTGCAAGTCACTCCATCTCTATTAGATACCTATGAATCTATATGAGTTTACACTCAACAGATGGGTTCTATGAGAAGATTCCTCTTGCCAGACGATATATCATTGCATTACGTCTGATGTTGGCCGTAGGACCGAAACATTCATTTTGAAATGATTCTGTAGTTGATCGTCTTCTTGTGTGATATCTTCCTTTGACCAATTCCACTCATTTGAGAAGTATGAATGATATCCACGACTAGTTTATTGAAACTCAAAACAGCAGTATAACCGTATCCAGAAACTTTGGGGAAACTAAGAAAATCTGGCAACATTTGTTGTCTCCCTCGCCGTCGCGCAGGGAGCGAAGGAGAATGCGGCCGCTAACATGACAAGTGACGTGACCGCTACGGGCATGTCACGTCATCCCGGCATGCAGACAGACACCTCTGTTGAGCGGGAATTTCGGATGCTGGTGCGGGAAGAGAACACCGGACATTTAGGAGTTTTCCAGTGAGTGACGTCTCTTATTTGGAATTCTCCTACATGTCATAGCCGCATTATGTAATGTCCTCAGTGACAGGTTCATAAATATTGTGAACATATTATTCAGAATGTTGGGCTTGACTTGGTCATGATGTGGGGGATATGCGAGAGATGTTTTTATATGAATACAGGATGCCCACAACTTCGTATTTATACGCTTATAGTTTCTTAATGAGGGTTGTCAATTGCACCGAGTATATTTATAGGTATACGTATTCGTATTCGTCGATTTGATTTGCTATATTGTAGATTATGCATCTTCACATTTCCATTGGGTTCGATTTCTTAGTGGTAATACCTCAGAGGGTGATGGCCAGTGAGAAGTACTTCACCAGCTTGTCACGAGCCTTAGAATGTACTTGAGTCAATCATGGCAACAGAAAAGACATTTTTTGTCCTGCCATTTCAGATTTAGGAGTTTACATCAGAAATGCTCATTTTCAACGTTCTCAAGGTTTGATCCCAATGTTGTCAGTACCTATGATTAGTAAATCGATGAGTGGTATTTGAGATCTGGTTCGATTTGATTGCTGAAACGTATGAGTAAACAACTACTATATAAGAGATGTTTCTGATAACTTGCTCATTGGCATTTTGAGACTTTGTTGGTATCAACTGGACAAAGCGAGTGCACATATCGCCATCAGAGTGGCCTTCTGGGTCATCAGATCTGACCTCACTCGATTCTCATCTATGAGATCATATAAAAAATCTACGATCGAGAAGTTGAATTTTGCGAAGAAGCCGAACAGAGTGAGAAGCAGTTTCAGGAAAATATATATCGATTATATTAAAAAATCGTTAACTGAAGAACTAAGAAGTGAAGAGACGGATCGTGCAGTGCTGGAATGGTAATGGACAACACATTGAGCACACGAATCACCGGAATATATAATAAATATTTCGTTATTTTTGTTTGTTTTGAACCATTTTAGTCGTCCCAGATAATAAGAATTGTGTTTCTATTCTTCTGAATTATGTTTTGTTCCTTATTTCGGCAAGTATACCTATCAGTTGAAGCAAAATTCAACTGTGCGATCAGAAATAGTATAAGGCGTTTGGTTTGAAACATTGCTGCCTGATGAACCCTATATTATGGAGTATTATTCAGAATATTGAGTTTGCATGTGTATATAGGGTGTTTTCTATTGAGTTTTCATACTCAGTATCCTTAGAATTGATAGTGTCGCAACTCAGATGGGCTTACACAACGTGTCGCAACTTTGACAATGCTTCCACAGCTCAAGAGTACTCACTTGGCACTTTGGCAAGAGGATTTTCAGTATCATCTCACCCACACCACAGCCACATTCATTTCCAAATAAATGGAATTGTTTAGAAAACGATTCATCAAATCCATCAGAAACGGCGAAACAGCAAAAACAAACATGAATCAAGTGAAACAATGATAACAATGGAATGTATTTTTGGTAGGAACTCATACTTGGGGCAGCAAAACCAATGTGAAGGAGATGTGTCACCAAAGTGCGGCATCTTTGGAAGTCAGCTGGAAGGCAGCAATCGATTGTGGAATGTCAAGCCAAATGCACTATTTTTATTCAATGCGGTGCCTGGTTTGCATCAGGCGATGTCATTGAAATCGTCAGTACCTGTCTTTGTTACTCAGCTTGGTATTTTAGCGTATTTATCATTATGCAACTATGTAGCAACTGAAGTTTATAAACTCAAAGAACGAAAGAAAACTTGATATATTGAATGTTCAGATTCAGAGAACTAGATTGATGTTCGTGAATCTTCAATCTGATGAACAATATATAACAAGTAACACCTCATGACAATAGTTGTAATGACATAATATTCATTTTTTTGTTTCCTTCGAGTCCAATGTGTAGTAAAGATACTTCCAGAGCGAGGTTAATAACCACTAAGTCCTATAGGCGCACTAATATCTTACATATCAGAAAGGACATATCGACAGGCCCAGTCAGCACATCCTTCCGTCGTTAACCTTGAAATATGTCGAACACACTACCAAAACCCGTTCGCCTATAGAACGATGAGGCTCTGGAATTATTTGCCAATGAAAGTTTTCCCAAGAACTTATAACCTCCACAAGTTAAAAAAAATCCAACTGCTGTTTCAATATTTCGCTGTAAATTTCTTCTGACAATAATTGCAGAACACAATGTAATGATATTAATCATGAAACCTTGGTCTTCTGAATATATTTTCACATGGCATATCAGGAATGGGTACTTAATACAGATGATTTACTATGGGTTTTTTTCTTACAGTTCAATGCAAAATGGTCTTACATCGAGCTGTCTACAGCAGCGGGAAGCAACAGGCTACCCCTACATGTTTCATGATCCGTTACATTCCCTGAGTTCTTCGTATAACTCTAGAGGATGCAATCCAGCAGTTGCTCATGCCCAACCTACCACGCATCCAGCATATGGACCATCTGCTCCTTCTTCAGTACCTGTTTCTACTGGCACCGGTAAGTCTATAATTTGTTTTCATGTTTCGCTGGCTTCTACCTATTCTAAACTAATGAAAATTTATTCAGATATCTTTAAATTACGATTTTGATAGAACTGATTACTGAATGTTACATATAATACGGAATACTCGATTGTAATTAATTAAAATATTGTTCTTCTATGTCTATAACACAAAATTGCTCTTGTTTTACTATGTTCGATATATAATTTAGGTACTTAGTATGTCATCAATTTCATTTCCGTATCTGATATCACAATGACTTCACTGTTTCATCATTTCAAAAAAATCTTATCGCTCATGGAATTTCAAATTTCAAGCAATGATATAGCTCTGTCTAATAGATGAGCATTACTTGACAGGGAATCAGATGGCTACAAGACGAAGAAATAAAAAATGCCGCTGTTATCTGTATATAACAGCCTACAGCTCATACTGCAAACAAATTCATTCTCGTGGGAAATTACTATCATTCCGTGCTCGTTAAACAATATACTCATTAGATTTCCAGAAAAATCTATACCAAGCCAATCCTCTTAACTTCATAGATCAGTCTTGAGGAAAATCCTAGTCCATATAGGTATATATATATAGATGCTCTGGCGTTGAACAATATGAATTCGTGTAAATCGAAAAATCTTTTGTATTTTCTCCTGCAGGAAATGTAAATCCAACTTTATAACGGCAATTTCACCCCTGATTCGCGAAATATGCGAGTGTATTGGTGTAGAAATATTACAAGAACTTTCAACGTCTCATGACATGGCGTAAAAAGATCGATTCGATATAGGTAGAGCATCAGCATTGCGCTCTTGTCAGAGATGAGATATCTAAGCTTTTTTCTGTATCTTTCATTCTTCAATTCATATAAGATAAATGGTTTTTGGTTTCGCAACTAATTCGGCGGATTATTGAAATTATTAGTATGACAAAATATGTAGAAAATATACGAGTATTTTGTTGTGTTGCAGTAGGTAATCACAAAATAATTGGTCCATAATTCAGGTAGGTCATTTTGAAAGTGGAGTTTTGATGACTGTTATCGACTAATCGAATGCAGAGATATGCAAAAAACACTACAAACATTTTAAGTCCAAATGAGTATATGCATGGGCATCAGGTACTGGCTAGTATGTTGCTAGGAAAGTAGTTGTTTTCTATTGAATTAACTGAAAAAGAGTAAATATTCTCATCACATAGAGAATGCGAATTCTCAATGTATTGCTTTATATAAATATATATCCATTTTTGTATGTTCATAATTCATCTGAGAATATTCCTTTTTAAAACTTTCATACCCAATCAGGGGGTTCAAACTTGAACGATGGAAACTTGTGATTTTTATAGACCTCTAATCGCAGATTCGTGATAGAGTCTCAATTCAGAATTCATTTCCACGCCCTGTATGATGAATGTCAATTTATCATACACCCAAAAGCATGTTGCTAGTATCTTGCCATTCTCAGTAAAATTGCGATGTCTTAGTTATACCCAAGCATTTTACCGTCAGGAGAATGCCGCGATCATCTCTTCGAAATAACTCAAAAAGTTTTTTTTATCGCTTGGCGCGCACGAAAGGGAATCCCTATAATGTTCAAAGAACATCGTGCGTTCCTAGGGAGGATAGAGATAGGAGGTAGGTATTGGAATTTTTTTTTAACTTCTGGAGATTATAATATGTTGTTGGGAATACTTCAAGATAAATATAAATAATTTGCAAATTGTTCAATTTCTAATTTTTTTGACATGTTTTGAGGAGTCCTGATATGGAGTGATAAGGTGACGTCTCTGAAATATTTATCAAACCACTTATATCTGAGGTAAGCAATATGTTCTGTGCTTCGACATGTTTGCCCTACGTACCTCATTACAGTTCATTGCATGATTACCTACCACCAATGAAATTTGTATTAATTTCATCTCCAGGATTATCCAGAACTATTGATGGTAGTTTTCGCAGTGTAAGCTACGTGACTCGGGCATTAAGACTAAACTTCCTAAATCTCTAATTGTTAGGAGTTACTCCTGAAGTGGTGGTTTCACTTGTGATATCACTAGAGGTTTGAAAATTTCCGGAAACTAATTTAACCTCGTGTGGTATTCGATAAGAAGATTTCACACCAGATTGTGTTTGAGGATTAAATAATTTTATAATCCATTTATTCATTTGATTTTCATGTAGGTATAGGTTCATAAACAAATTTCATTTGGGTCGCAGTTTCCGCACCACTAATAGATTCCTTCCTTAGAAATTCCTAATTTCTACCGATTGTATTTGCATGAAAATTCCAGTTAAGAGAATGTAACTCATTATATTTTTCCAAATCATATCGATTTCGGGTAACTATACAAGTTGGTGAATATTATAATTGCATCGATTAATTTTTTGGTAGGTAGGTATTATATCTACATACAACTTATAATAGTAGTATAGTAGTGATAGAAGTAGTAAAAGAGGAGGCGGTCGCCTAGCAAGTAGGCCCCCGTGGGCTCTTTCTGCTGACCTCTGCTGCACACATATCTACTTTTCCTTCTCCTAATTTTTCGAGTCTCCGTGACCTTCAAATGGAGGTCGGTATGCCCGTCCACCTTAGGTTAGGTCAGTGAATAAGATCTTCCTGGTGAAGCGTATCAGCACCAAAGATTTCGTATCTCAGCCCTCCATACGCCTTACACTGGCCCAGGTAGTGGTATGGCAGAGCGATGAACTATACCGGGTGTAAATGGATCGTGGTACACCTCCTTTTTCTCCTTTAGTTTCTAATCTAACTGATTGAAATTTGGAATGACGGGTCAATATGATAAATGATATGTTTTGACATGAATTTGCTTAATTTTTCCTTGCATTTTCCACTTCCGGTTTCACCGGAGGAGGTAATAACTTTCGATTTTCAAATAGAACACCCCATTGAGAATACGCATTCTATATCAATCGAAAATATCAATTCTTTCTAGCTTTATTCAACAGAAAAGAACTACTTCCCTGGCTATATGCCACGACGAACATTGAATTATATATCTATTGAACACAAACGAAAAAAATTTTAAACCAGAATCTTCTGCTGTCGAGAAATTGTATTCTCCTTCAGATAAAAATATGTATTGACATCATATCATTATGAATATTCAACAGAAAACAACTACTTTCCTGGCTATTTGCCGCGTCGAAAATGTTGAACATTTAAAAGAGGAACATGAAAAATAAAAATCCTCTGAAATTGAGGACTGACATTCTCTCTCAAATTGGATCAATAATAGTATGTATCAAGATATAAAAATATAAGATAATTAAACGAATATAGTTAATTCAGATGATATAAAAATAAGTCCATCTATCAATCTTTTCTCACGAGGAACTCATCAACTCATAGGATTAATTCGACATAAGCTGAAGTTATATGTAAATGTCATTTCACCTATTAACCTATCAAAAAATATCTATATATGGTTCAGTTTTATCCACCATCCCCCATGGAGCATGAACACATGTCTGAAAATTTGTTTAGTTGCTATATGGTAACGATACAATATAAAAGCGCCTCAAGTTGGTCAAAAATGTAAGATGGAAAATTTTCAACATTATTCTCTAGAAAAATCAAATGTATAGTCCTAACATAGTGCGAATCATTTTGGTCAGATTATCTTCGTACCTATATCTGATACCCATCTGAAAATCTGCACAATGTTGTAGGCGACACACATCAAATGCACATTTCCAGGTGAATCATTTATGATTAATAGATTATTATCATTCTCATTACTACGATTAATAGATTTTCTGAATATTATAATATCACTCATAGGCAGTTCTTAGTCATTGACAACAACGCATTACTCAAAACCCAGACGAAGCGAAGGGAAACCGTCCTCTGGGACTTTCCATTCACGTCTTTATCGTGCACACGAGGTACAGAGTTGAGGTTAAGTGGGCTCCCGAGAGAGAAGGTACCAAACGAAGCTTGCAACCCGAACAACTGCGCCCCACCCCGCGCTTTAGTTCGCACATTATTGAGCGCTCGTCGAGCAGAGAATTGGAAAACCGCTCCCCACCGCTCCCACCCCTCCCGAGGGCACTTTAAACTGATCACGGACAACGAAATTTACGGCGGCAGACCGGCAAAACTGCCAGACTAGCTCCTTTCGTTTTCCTCGAATTGGCTGCTGAACTTGCTGATAGGTGATGTTGGATAAGTGGATTAACAATTTGGTGTCATATTTGAACATTTCAGCTATCTGGTGAATATAGTGTAGGTACCCCATATAAGTGGATAATTCGAATTTTTCACAATTCTCGAGTTGCCATAGCTTTTTGAAAAATTAACCGATTCTTAATCTGAATCAGCATTCGAAAGTTGGATTACTGATGACATTTTTCGGGCGGAGGACCTGTGGACCTTGGTAATATCACTTGTCTGGTACTCATGGATTTCAATAAGACATTCGACACCCTTGATCACAAAGTACCGTGAAATATCTCAGTTTCTTCGGATTCGCTCCTGAAGCAGTCAATCTCATAACCAATTACCTTACCAAACGAACACAAAGAATCATTTCAGATGGGGAGGTGTCTGAGGCCTAGTTTTTTACACCCGGGGTTAGGTTAGGTTAGGTTGAACGTGAGTGGGCCTATTGTCAGGCCCTCCACTGCGGCCATTGGCCTATTGTGGCTCACCCTAGGGTTATATTTCTCCCTGTATATCCAATTTCTTAACGAAATTGAGGATTGCGTTGGGAGAACAATTTGCCAGGTTTTCTGGCCTTACTGTTGTATTGCCGAATATTGAAAATCTGGTTCTGGCCGCTGCGGGGCATGTACACAGGATGTGTTTCGCCGTTTCATCCTCCTCCATACATAGGCGGCACTCTGCATCTTGTGCAAGTCCGATTTTGTGCATGTGGTATTTGAGTTTGCAGTGGCCAGTGAGCAACCCTACTATGACTCTGAGATCTGCTCTGCTGAGTTCTAGTAGTTTGTCAGTGTCCTGTTTGTTCCTTGTA